AGGCGGCTGTCAGTGTACTCTTTTTACACGAAAATTATTGTATGTACATACAGACAAAAGTTATCTGTGTACACAGACAACTCTTGTATGTGCGCATAGGCAACTCCATACCAATTGTCTGTGATCGACATTTTGTGTAAAACTTAATGTTTATCTTTTAGAAACGGTCAAGCGTGAACATGGAAATAAAAAGTAAATACTACATTGATTCAATTTTACTTTGTCTTTTTTATTCCTTGAATAGGAGTAACCTGCCAAGTTTGGAAAAAATGTCATGTTTAAAACCTAGTAATGCCAAATTTGGCAGAAATTACTCTTATTTAGAGAATAAAAAACATAATAGTCCTATTTTGGAAATTCAAAACATTTTACCTCTTATCTAGGAAATTTTCTCTAGTTTTAATAATAGTGCATTTTCTTTTTCAATGTAACAATGTATGAGTATCTTTTAGCAACTTCCATATATCCAAGTCTAAAGCCTAGTAATGTCAAATTTGGCAGAAATTACTCTTATTTAGAGAATAAAAAACATAATAGTCCTATTTTGGAAATTCAAAACATTTTTTCACCTATCTAGGAAATTCAATGTAACAATGTATGAGTATCTTTTAGCAACTTCCATATATCCAAGTCTAAAGACTCAATTAGAATTAATACTATTCAACTGGATTACATGCCAAGGCAAGGGTATATAAAAAAGGTGTAAGCCAAAATTGTTATATAAAAACCCATTTCTGATGGAAATTTTAATTGAAAAATAATTTATAAATCCCAAATATTGTTGTTAAACCGGGCTAGGCCTCCGGTTTGGATTTTTTTTTTTTTTTTTTTGCTTTCCTAACCCCCACCCCCCACACTCCCAAACCCCCCCAAACCCATCCTACCCATCAAGCCCAACCCGGGTGGAACCCCAAAAATGAAAAAAAAATAAAATGAAAAAATCAATTTGGCCCGGGCCCGACCCGGCCGGTTCACCAAAATTGAGACCCGAGCCCGGACCCGCCCTACCCCCCGGGCCTAGGCCCGACCCGGACCCGGACCCGAGAACCGGGCCGGTCCCGGTCCCGCACAGTAGCAGGCTGAACCGGTCCACAGGCCGGGTGGCCCGACCCGATTCCAAACCTAAATTGAGGTATATGAAGCAGGGATGGACCGGTTCCGGTTCGGGCACAGTTCGGGCCTGGGACCGGCCAGGCCTCGGCTCAGGAAGGGGAGGCCCGAAACTGGCCCGGGTAACCCCCGGGTCCGGGCCGGGCCAGGTAACCCCCAGGTCCGGGCCGGGCCAGACCTCGGTTCTTTTTTTTTTTGGCTTTTCCTGGTTAACCCCCAACCCTCCCCTCACCCCCAAACTCACCCTAACCACCTCAAATGGCCCAAAATACCCAGCCCAACCCAAAAACTTAAAAAAAATCAAAAAAAAAATTGGCCCGGCCCTGGCCCGAATCGGCCAGGCCGGTTCACCTTTTGAATGGCCCGAGCCCGAACCGACATCCCACCGGGCCGGGTGGCCCGAACCGGCCAACCAACTGGTTCACCGGGCCGGTCCGGTTGGCCCGCCCCGAGTCCACCCCTAATATGAAGCGAAGAGAGGTGATCTGGATTAGGGATGGATTCGGTTCGGGCCACCCGGCCCGGCCCGGTACTGTGCGGGCCCGGGACCGGCCCGGTCGGGCGGTCCGGGACCGGGTCTGGGCCCGAACCGGGGGGAAGGGGCGGGGCGGGCTCGGTTCAGCATTTTGTGACCCGGCCCGGCCGGGTCGGGCCCAGGCCCGGGTCCGGTTCCATCCATTTAAAAAAAAAAAAAATTGGGTTGGGCTCCTACTAGCCGTTGGGGGTGGGGCTGGGGACAACCCAAACGGCTATATAGCCGTTGGGTGGGTTATAGGGGGGGTCCAGGGGGGGTTGGGTGGTGGGGGGTGGTGGGGGGTGGGGGGGTAAAAAAACCTATAAATACTCCTAATCTTAAACATTTTTTCATATCTCTTCTCCAATTCTTCCTAAATCCTATTCTTAACTCTCTACTCTCTAATTCTCTTATTCTCCATTCTCCAATATATTATATTTATTATTTATAGTTTATATTAATTATCTACTTATATAAATTATAAATAGATATAAATAGTATTATATTACTTATATTTGTTATCTAATTATATATTACTTATATATTTATTATATCTATTAATATAGTTGGAATTATATCTAATTAATTTGAAGTCATTCTATTACTCCCATCCGAAAGACCGAAAGTCCGAAAGAGGTACGAAATTATTCTATTATTTACACTTCTTTAATTACTAGTTAATTAGTATAGTTGGAATTACGATTTTTTATTAATATAGTTGGAATTACGATTTTTTATTAATATAGTTGGAATTACAATTTTTTTATTAAAAAATATGTTGTACACAAAACTAGTTAATTCACTACTTAATTTGCTATAACTCGAATTAATAGTTACATAAATAGTTAATTAGTTTCTTACAATTTTTTATTAATTGCTACATTTGACTCTAGTTTAAAAATAATGTTGTACACAAAACTAGTTAATTCACTACTTAATTTGCTATAACTCGAATTAATAGTTAGATAAATACTTAATTAGTTTTTTACAATTTTTTATTAATTGCTACATTTGACTCTAGTTTAAAAATAATGTTGTACACAAAACTAGTTAATTCACTACTTAATTTGCTATAACTCGAATTAATAGTTAGATAAATACTTAATTAGTTTTTTACAATTTTTTATTAATTGCTACATTTGACTCTAGTTTAAAAATAATGTTGTACACAAAACTAGTTAATTCACTACTTAATTTGCTATAACTCGAATTAATAGTTAGATAAATACTTAATTAGTTTTTTACAATTTTTTATTAATTGCTACATTTGACTCTAGTTTAAAAATAATGTTGTACACAAAACTAGTTAATTCACTACTTAATTTGCTATAACTCGAATTAATAGTTAGATAAATACTTAATTAGTTTTTTACAATTTTTTATTAATTGCTACATTTTTTAGATGGATCGTCGTAGATATTCGGTTGATATGGGTAACCTCGAGCGCAACCGAACGAACGAGCTTGCGAGGAAGAGATCCCGCAAAAGTAAATCACATCTCGGCTCTTCATCTCAAAGTCAAGATGATTTTGATACGGGTTACGTAAGGAGGGATGGGGATGCGATGACCGACGAACAACTAGCTTATCATAATTTACATTATTTGGGTCTGACTGTACATTATATTGATAATGATTGGCATATGCATAAACGTGTTCTTGCTTTCCGTGAATTTAATGATCGTCACACCGCTGAACATATTTATATTTTGATTGAACGTATTTTAATTGAGTATAATTTAATTGATAAGGTGTTTGCTATTGGTTTTGATAATGCTACTAATAATACTGCTGCTATTCTTAGATTGCGTGAATTGTGTGGTTCTACTTCTTTGATGGGTAGATTTTTTCATCAACGATGTGCATGTCATGTTCTAAATTTATGTGTGCAAGATGGTCTAAAAGCGTTGGGAGCATCGTTGGAGGTAGTCAAGGGGGGGATTAGACGTATTTGGGGTAATGGACACCTTAGGAAAAAATGGCATGATTATTTGATAGAAAGAGGTGAGAGATATGTGGCTTTTCCAAAAGATTTGTCTATTCGTTGGAATAGTACCTATAAGTTAATTGGAGTTCTTCTTAGATATAAACAACATTTTCCTGCTTTTATGAAACAATATGATAACTATATTATAAACTCGACTGAGATCGACACCTGTGAAAAAATTTGTAATGCTTTGATATATTTTAATAATGCAACTGAAACTTTTAGTCATGTTTATAAACCTACCTCAAACCAATTTATTCGTGAAGCTGTTAATCTCGCCGGTGCTTTTTCAAATTTTGAGAATGCTGATTATGTGAATTATTTTGCTGGTTTTATGAAGGAAAAGTTTTTAAAATATTATTCACATATTCCGCATATTTATGGTATTGCATTTGTTCTCGATCCTCGTTTTAGACTTGGTTCTTTAGAAGAATGTTTGAATTATTATGCTGCTTTTTTTGGTCCATTGCCAATGTATGAGGACAACCCAATTGATCCGAAAAAAGAATACAACGAGGTTAGTAAATATTTTATGCATTATTCAATGAGTTTCATGCACAATATGGCAATGCGCCCCCTCCCCCGACACAAACATCATCTAAAGGAAAATCAATTTTCAAATCTACGTTTGCCAATCTTATTAAAAAAACAAAATCAACTCCCGCTACACAACAAAGCACAATTAATGAGATTTCTTTGTATTTAACTTATGATGTTGATTTTGAAGAAAATGATGATTTTGACGTACTAAACTGGTGGAAGGGAAAAGAAAGAATGTTCCCGATTTTAGCAAAGATGGCTAAGCAAGTGCTATCAATGCCGGTTTCAACGGTTGCCGTGGAACAAGAATTTATTTCGACCGGCAATGTTCTAACACAAACCAAAACGAGGTTGAGCGCTGAATCTCTTGAGATGCTTATATGCTACCACGATTGGTTGAAACTTGAAAGCAACACGTAGAGCTCAAGAAATTGACATCACTTCATCCCAACACTTTATGGATGAATCTACAGAAGGTGGCTCTACTTATGCCGGAGATTCCGATTAAAAACAATTATAGTTCCTATTTAATTTTCAAATGTAGTTCCTATTTCATTTCAAATAAATGCACTTGAAGTTTGTTTTTAATACTTGTATAAAACTATAAAGTATAAAATAAAAAATAAAATAAAAAAATTACCCGGCCCGGCGGGTGGCCTGACCCGTGACCCGGGCGGGTGGCCCGGCCCGAACCGGACCCGTCCAACCCTCGGGCCGGTCCCGGGCCCACTATTCTAGAACCGGCGGCCCGACCGGGCCCGACCCGGCCCGAATCCACCCCTAATCTGGATCAGTGAACACAAAAATAATCATGCGTGGGATATTAAAAAGAAAATTCACATCTTCATTGGTGGTAGTAGCTTAGCTTAAAACTTATGGTTAGAAACTAGTGAATGAAAGCAAATAGGGACTGACTCGAAGCAAATAAAGTAATGTTAGACAGCAGCATTCGACGACATAATAATGCAGAAAGGCTTCCCTTTAATTCTTTAAATGATGGATAACACATCAAACGTCAAAAGTAGGGTTTTTATGTCAACCTCACAAGGGGATATCAGATTCTAACTCCAACATTATTATTACAAAGGCTAGAAACACTACACTTCTGTGGGAAGACACAAACTCATCTGATCTAAATAGACACCCCCATCCATACAAGTAGTAGAACTGTAGAAGCAATTAGGGCACCCTGCAGGGAAAGAGAATAGAGGGTGTAATGGTCATTAACAACACATCATTGCTGCTGTGGAAAAAAGTAAGGTTGAGCGCAATAACAAAATTGTATCATGAACAACCAAACCATGCGAAAGCAGATGAACACAACAGGTTCAAATAATGCACTCACATATCATGTTTGTCACTGTCTCACTCAAAGTATGAACTAAATTTTACCTCCCCAGCACCCCTTAAACTAAAAGAAAATTCAAACTCTTTTAGTTCCGAAAAGTAGTCCAGTTTTAAAAGCCAACATTGATTCATAAGTAAACTTCCACGTAAAGCGAAGCACCAAGCGGGGTTTCAGTCGATTACACAAGCTTAGGGAAATATTTTATAGGGGTATAAAAGACCATTCAAAACTTATAACAGCTTGTACTCTGAAAGCTGATAAAAAAAAATTGTACATTACAAACTTGATTGTTTAAAGAGGTAAATACATATAAAAAATTTACCTCTGAGCTGGTCATGTTCACCACCCTCCCTTGCTAGCTCCTCCATCACCACTCTCTTTGCCACCCCAAGAGGTAGATGATGATGCCTTACCCCACGCATCAGCAGCAGCCCCAGCGCCTTCTTCTTTGGGTTTTATAGATTCGGATGTGTTGCCCCAGGATGATGCCTTACTGGCACCACCATCTGCATCACCACCAGCACTATTCCAACTTACCCCCTTATTAGTATTATTATTGTCACTGGTAGCTTTCCAGCCGCTGCCACCACCATCCCCGGTATTCCAACTGCTCGGTGGCTTGCTATCACCACCAAAATCACTCGTGTTCTTCTGCTGCTCACCACCACCTGATTGCCACTGGCCTTTCCCCATTCCACCTTCATTCCAACTATTTCCTTTATTACTATCACTGGAAGCTTTCCAGCCACTGCCTGCATCACCGCCTGACCCATTATTCCAACTACTCAGCTTATTCCCATCACCTGTGGACCAACTCTGTGAATTGCCACCTCCATTCCAACTTCCCTTGTTCTCACTAGCTTTCCAGCTGCTGCCACCATCACCACTTGACCCATTTCCCCAACTGCTCTGCTTATTGCCATCACCACTGAAATCATTTCTACTGTTATTGTTCCATTCACCGGTTTGGTCTCTTCTACCACGTCCTCTCCCCCCAAAACCACCGCTGCCCCTATCAAAACTACCACCTCTACCTCGAAATCCACCGCCACCCCTTTCAGATCCACCACCTCTGCCCTGATAACCTCCTCCCCTATCATAGCCACCTCTTCCACGATATCCTCCCCCCCTATCAAATCCACCTCCACGGCCACCCCTCCACCCACCTCTTCCTCCCCTTTCATTGGAGCTGTCATCTTGATGTTCATTCCCGCCGCCAAAGCCACTGCCTCCCGAGTTCCAGTTACTTTCGCTCTTCCACCCAGATGACTGGTTTCCACTACTTCCCCAACCAACTGCCGAACTCCCATTGGAACTTTTATTGTTCCATCCTGATGACTGTTTTGTTTCAGAATCACTTCCTTTACCTGTTGCATTCCACCCACCACCAACTTCATTGGTATCATCTGTTCCTTCGTCCACAATTGGTTTCTTGTTCCAACTAGATGGCTGGCTTTCACCAGCAGAAGGTTTGGCAGCATTCCATCCTCCTCCACTCTGCCAATCAGCTTGTTTAGTATTAAAAGCAGCACCATCTTTGTTTTCATCGGGTTTTTCAGATTGGTCACTTTTCCAACCCAAGCTTGATCCTGCTTTGATGTTCCATTTTTCACCTGCTGCATCTTGTTTACTACCCCAATCATCTGCTTTGCTTCCATCAGTTGATTTTGCCTTTTCCCAAGAGCTTTCTTGGGAGCTCTTCCAACTGCATTCTCCACCGGCAGCAGAACCCGATCCTTCCTGCTTTTCTGGTTGGCTTTTCCAGCCTGAACCTGAATCACCATGTTCAGCATCTTTCACTACACCCCAACCTTGGGCATTCTTCCCAGAGCTATTATCATCCCTGCTAGATGCATTTAGATTCCCCCAGTCATCCTTTTTGCTTCCATCAGATGTCTTACCCCAAGAACTTTCACTCTTCCAACTATTTGATGGCAGCCCCCCAGCAGCAGCAACTCCTGACCCGAAATTACCTTCAGCGTCCTTACCCCAGCTATTTGACTCACCTCCACGATCAAAAGACCTTCCTCTACCTCCACCCCTACCAAAACTGTCTCTTCCCCTGCCCCTTCCTCTTCTTCCACCACCACGGCCCCCATCAGAAGCCCCCCCACCGCTTCCCCAACTTCCTTGTTGATGTGGTCCATCACCAGAAGATTGATCATCTTGTTTACTCCATGAGCCGCCACCATCCTGCTTTCCCCAAGAGGATCCGCCACCGTCTTGTTTACTCCATGAGCCACCACCATCCTGCTTTCCAAAAGAGGATCCACCACCGTCTTGTTTACTCCATGAGCCACCACCATCCTGCTTTCCCCAAGAGGATCTGCCACCGTCTTGTTTACTCCATGAGCCACCACTATCCTGCTTTCCAAAAGAGGATCCACCACCGTCTTGTTTACTCCATGAGCCACCACCATCCTGCTTTCCCCAAGAGGATCCACCACCATCTTGTTTACTCCATGAGCCGCCACCATCCTGCTTTCCAAAAGAGGATCCACCACTGTCTTGTTTACTCCATGAGCCACCACCATCCTGCTTTCCCCAAGAGGATCCACCCCCACCTTGCTTTCCCCGTGAGGATTTATCTTCCTTATTATTCCAGGAAGATCCATCATCTTGTTTTCCCACTGAACCACCACCATTCTTTTTTCCCCAAGATGACCCGCCATCCTCCTCACCTCCACCAGAACTATTGGGTACCTTAGTCTCCTGTTGGCCCCAAGATGATCCGCCTTGTTTTCCCCAGGAGGATTTTTCCTCCTTACTGGCCCAAGCAGATTCCACATATTTCCCCTTACCATCATGTTGGCCCAAAGATGACCCTCCACCCTGTGCTGCCCATGATGATTCATCTTCCTTCTTATTGCCCCAAGAAGATCCCACATCTTGCTGTACCTTATTATCTTGTTTCCCCCATTGGGATCCACCGTCCTGCGAAATGCCTGCACTGCCCCATCCACCACTTTCACTCACTGGACCAGGTAAAGAGCTAGAAGCCGCTCCCTTACTGACCCAAGCATCACTGTTTGCAACGGTGGTGCCTTTACCTTGAGAACTCGCAGAATTTCCCCAACTAGGCCCATCATTTCTTTCACTCTTCACTTTGTTGCCCCATCCTTCACTTTGGCCTTCATTCTTTGCTGCAGCACCCCAGCTGGAACCATCATTCTTGACTATGCTTTCCTCACATGCTTCAGAAGTTTTACCCCAACTGTCAGAACCAGAGGTGCCAGCCACTGAAGTAGAAGCAACTTTTTTCCAACTATCACTTCCTCCCCAACCACTACCTTGCCCAGCATCTTTACTTTGAGTTGTCCCTATTTCCCAAGCAGAACTCCCAGCATCTTCTATCCAAATAACATAAAGTAGAATAAAAGAGGTAAGAGTATAATAAAAATACAGATGGGAAATAATTTTATTTTGCATGTTGCCGAAGAACATGGATCGAAAATAAAAATTGAGTTCAACACATCAAAATCAAACACGTATGCAAACAGGAGTTTTACAATGATAGAACACTGACCTTTCATCAAACAAGATAATCAAGAAACTGTTCTTTCATTCAATTAACAGAAAGAATTACAAAAGAGATAGTTTCTGGGCAAGTTCGAGAGTGCCAGAGCCCTCCAAAGTTATATTTTCTAATTCAATAACAGTCTGCCTCTTAATCCTCCCCTCCCTTTCTATTTATACTACCTGTACCATTTATTATTATTATAATTTCTATTATTAGTCTACCAACTTTCTATTATAATCTCTGAGTTCCTGGGCGACCACTTTCTTGGCCTTTGCCAACTTTTGACTCACCAATCTCGCCATCATCCAGTATTGGAGTGCATTTAACTGATAGAAGTTTACCAATAGCATCCTTAGCTAAATGATATGGAAGAACACCGGATGCTTCTGGTATTTTTAAATCAGATTCATTTTCACCCTCACTGCAATCACCAGGGAACGCTAAAAATTCAGGCTGGATGGAAGTGCTTCAGTGCTTCGTTGACCGGTACCTTCACCCTTAGGCGCTCCAAGAGTAGCTTGCCCCGTATTCAGAGAAACAACTTGCGAGGAAACCTGCGAACTCAGCGAATCTGATAGGGACGAAACTGGTGACTGCGACTGTTAGGGTTTGGGCCTAATGGACTGTTAGGAATTGGGCCTAATAAACCAAGAATAATAATAAATGTATTAGTTAGTATAAATAGACTAAACTGGGGAGAAGTCGGGGAGGCTGCTTTTAGACTTTGTCTTGGGACTTGGGAAGATTGAGTTTATTCTCTCTCTTTTGGGGGGCTTCGGCTCATTTGGGGATCAGAGCCAAATGAGACTCACGCGCGCGAAGATGGAAGGCAGAATCAACGAATTGGAAGAAAGGACGGAGAGAAATATGCAGGAGATGCAGAATACTTTGGTGGAGAGAATGGCGGCGATGCAGGCAGCGATGCAAGCTGACATCGCGAAGTTACAGATCGATCGAACAAGGAGTTCGAGGAGTCGATCGCATCGTTCAAGTACGTCTCATCGCTCGAATAGACACAGACGATCGAGGAATGATGAAAGCTCAGAAAGCAACGATGGTCATTCTGATCATTCTGTATCGAGACATAATCATCATCGAAGGCAGAGAAATCATCACCAAGCTGGACGGAAGATTGATCTACCTATTTTTAATGGAGAAGACGCCTGTGGCTGGTTACTGAGGATGAACCGTTACGTCAGGTTGAACAGAACTGAGGAAGTGGATAAGATTGATGTAGCTGTGATAGCCATGGAGGATCAAGCACTCAGCTGGTTTCAGTGGTGGGAAGGACAAGCATTGCAGCAGAATTGGAATACTTTTACTCAAGCTTTGACCAAGCGATTTCAACCTGATCTGGTACAGGATCCGCTAGGGCCTCTGTTTAACCTGAAGCAGAAGGGGACAATTCAGGAGTACCGAGACAAATTTGAAACTGCTATCGCTTCACAAGGTCACTTAACTGAAGAGGTCTTGAGAGGGGTCTTTCTTAAGGGATTGAAAAGAGATATAAGAGCAGAATTGATGTTGCATCGTACTAGAACGTTGGCAGAAGTTATGGATACTGCTTCCGCGATTGAGAACAAGAATTCTGAAACCTTGTTTGTGAAGAATAAGGAGGAAGGAAAGGGCAAAACAAACCTACAATCCAGTTTTCAGGCCAGAAATGGGGAGATGAAAGCAGGTGGAAAAGCCATCCTTACACTTCTGCTAGTATGGACAATTTTTCAGTAGATCATAAGAGCAATGAAGATAATAAGGGCTGGAATTTCAGAAAGGAAGGTCCCAGGTTATCCCAAGAAGAACTAATGGACAGAAGCAAGAAAGGACTTTGTTTTAAATGTGGTGAAAACTGGAATCGGGGTCACGTTTGTAGAATGAAAATTTTTAAGATGATGCTAGTAGAACAATCCGAAGGAGAGGAGGAATCTGATACTGTCTGTAAAAGAAGGGAGGGAGAAGAAGGAATACATATGGAAGTTAAGACTATGCAATTATCTGTACTGAACAAAGAAGGAACACCACCCATGAGAACATTCAAGGTTCTGGGAGATCTGAAATGGCTGACTGAGGAAAAGAAGGTGAATATTTTAATTGATAGTGGTGCTACTCACAACTTTATTTCCCAGCAACTGGTAGAAAGATGGAAGATACCTTTCCAAAGTATCAAGGCATATATGGTACAAATAGGCAATGGAGAATTGATTCCTAACTACGGTAGATGTGAAGGAATGAAGCTGAATGTACAGGGAAATGAAATTCAACAGAATTTTTATATGTTGGAGCTTGGTGGGACTGACATGGTGCTAGGATTGGAATGGTTGACTGATCTAGGTGTTATGGAAGTTAATTTCCAAAACCAGATCATAAAATGGAAGAAACAAGGGCTGAATCATGTTATTCAAGGTGATGGGTATTGGTTGTACTGTGAAGGACAAAGCACAAAGCAGAAGCAAGAACAGATAATTGAAGGCAGAAGGAACGAGCTTATAAAGGAGTGTCCTGAAGTTTTCAAGTCAATTGTGGATAAAATGTCATGGCAGTTGTGTAATTCGGCTGTGAAATACATAGGAAAAAAGATGGAATCAGCCAAGCTAAGGGTCCAGAAATCATGCCAGTATTGGAAAGGAAGAAGTGCTAGGATGAAAGAAAAAATAAATATTGAGGCTGTGTCCTATCACCCACCTTGAGGGCAAGGTGGATGTTTAGGGGGGAGTATTGTTAGGGTTTGGGCCTAATGGACTGTTAGGAATTGGGCCTAATAAACCAAGAATAATAATAAATGTATTAGTTAGTATAAATAGACTAAACTGGGGAGAAGTCAGGGAGGCTGTTTTTAGACTTTGGGGGTGTTTGGAACTGATTCTGCTTCTGCTTCTTTTTTAAAGCAGAAGCAGAATCAAAATCAGTTTTCAGAAGCTGGTACCCCCTAGCTTCTAAAAAACTGATTCTAGGAGTAAATTAGAGCACCAGAATCACTTCTACATTTTCACCCAAACACTCCAACTTCTGCTTCTGCTCCCTGAAGGAGCAGAAGCAGTTTTAAGAATCGGATCCAAACACCCCCTTTGTCTTGGGACTTGGGAAGATTGAGTTTATTCTCTCTCTTTGGGGGGGCTTCGACTCATTTGGGGGCTTCGGCCATAGTTTCTTGTTCTTAATCAATAAAGACTGCAGAGTTGTTCTTGATCTCTTTATGTGATTTTATTGAATTTCTGAATATCTCTAACAGCGACTTGATGTTTTTTTCTTGCGATACAGCTTGAGAATAAACAGTTCCTGACGAAGCCTTAGAACTGGAAGCCGGTGAACTGATGACATCTGCTCGCGGCGACGCTTGCGAACCGGGAAGAGCTGTTAGCGACGATGATGAAGTTCGCGATTGCAAAGAAGAGAATCACGATTGCGAACTGTGAGAAGTTGCTCGCGACTGAACCTGCGCACTTCGCGATGCACTGGGAGATGTTGTTGGCGACGACTTCTGAGATGTTGTTGAAGGTCACGTATGATGACAATGATGGGATCGCGATCTTCCTCTCTCGCGAAGTTCATCGCTCATCGCATCCATCTTTACTGCCATTTTTCCATCATCGTTTTCATCTGTAACAACGTTTCCTCAGTTGCGATCCTGCTACGCTTCATTTCTTCCCTTAGATTCTCCATTTTGGCTCTCGTTCGAACCATTCACAATTCAGAACGAGAGAAAGAAAATTCTGGTGATACTACAGCAATTCCAGATTTCTATCAAACGAGATAATCAAGAAACTGATCTTTCATTCAATTAACAGAAAGAATTACAAAAGAGATAGTTTCTGGGCAAGTTCGAGAGTGCCAGATCTCTCCAAAGTTCTATTTTCTAATTCAATAACAGCCTGCCTCTTGATCCTCCCCTCCCTTTCTATTTATACTACCTGTACCATTTATTATTATTTCTATTATTAGTCTAATAAGCCTGATTCCCATCATACAATTTCAGATAAAAACAACCAAACTGGCTTCACATAGCGCAGCCTGGATACTTGTTTCAATTCTTGTCTAGTTTGGTAACTGTTAAAACAGTTGCATGTAATTATGTAAATCATACCTTTATTAACATCAACTGAAGTGAGAGAACTGGTATTGGGGTCTTGTACAGTCTGTAAAATGAAGACGCTTTACCACGAAGTATTCATACAAAATAGGCATGAACCTATGGCTAATAAAGTCATCATCATCATTACCCCAGTGCCGCAAAGGCTCCCACCTACGGTGGGGTAAGGGGGGGTCGGATGTACGCAGTCTTACCCCTGTACTAAAGCAGGGAAAGACTGTTTCCGAATGACCCATAGTGAAAATCGTGTCGAAAATTGCATAGGCTGACTGTTAGTTCATAACAAAGAAGCGCAGACAGTTTAGTGAGCCATTTTGCTTTATTCCATCATATTCTCAAGCCAAAAAATAGCGAGTCTTTGGCTCCATTGAAAATGATGGAATTATCTATGGCTAATAAAGTAAGATGGAAAATGAAAGCATCAAGATTGGAACTTGTACATACTGGTAAGCTCGATGAAGGGAAAGAAGGCCAGGAGCTCCTGCAAAAGTAAGCACAAAATTAAACTGTATGATACGTTTTCAAAACTGTTATACCAACAGGGGAGCAAGAAACAGAAATATAAGTAACAAGCAGTGAAGGGATACATATCTTTTTTGTGTGTGTAGGTTGAAAGGATACATATCTATGCTACATAGATAAATTACTGGCAACACACTTCACCAAAAAGTGAAAGGAGTATTGAACTTCAACTGTAGTTACTACTTACTATGGGTAATTAACAAAATAAAAATACACCAATACTATCAATCTTAAGCGTATTTATAGAAAAAAATGAAAAGGAAACTCATTAGGTCTAAATGAAAAGAAAACGATTGAAAAGCTGGGTAATTGCAAAATAACTCAGCTTCCACCGTGGGCAAGGAAATGTCTATCAGTTCCACCTAGCACACAAGCAGAATTATCACTCCAAAAGATCGTTCATACTATTAATGAACAAAGGACATCTGTTTATACTGGTTTAAGTGTCTTGGTAGACAGATATTACAGTAAACATATACCTCTTACAATATCTCTACTACGAAGTAGGAATATTAACTAAAATAGACTTCTGATGCTAATCGGAAACTACTATTACTAATAACCACAGGAAACTATTAATAATAGATATTAAAAAAAATAATGACAATATATATAATATTAATAACAATAATAATAGGCTTCTTCCGTCCATATCACCCTGGTTTAACATTACACCAGAATGTGGACTCTTATCACTTCTAAATTTGTAATCTAATCTTTTCTTGTTAGGTACCAACAGCTGAAGGGGCTACTACATGAATACAGGTGAATTATTGTTTGATAACAACTTTATAACATCAAAAGCAAATAATTGATAATGAAATTGCACTCCAACAGTCCATCCCATAATGAATCTGCAGGGCAATCAACTAAAAAATATAGAAATGCAAAATAACTGATCAAACAGAGATGATGATCCAGAGGCCAACCTTTCATTAGATGATAATCCTGCATTCCAACTATCATCTTGCGCCGCTTGAATCCCACCATCAGCCCAATCTTCAAATGAAATGAGACAATTATTACATGATAGAGGTAATAAAAATTCTCGAAAGGAAAGTGTTAGAGATGCAGTGTAAACACAAACATACATGCATGCAGACAAACGTCTTATAAGGTACAGGGAAAGATGTTTGATAAAAAGGGTAGCCTCAATACATAGGGGAGATATCTACACTATTGTTAGACCATACTTCTTCCATTTTTATCAATTGCTCAAATATTGTTTTCATGAAGCTCAAGAAAAACATAGTACGGGTACTGCATAGTAGGAAAGAGAAGATGAAAAGGTAAAAAAAAGTAGGAAATAGAAAATGATGAAGGGTAAAAGTAAAGGTAAAACAAGCCAAATTAGTGAAACAGAAGCCCCATGTATAGAGTAATATACACAAAAATTATTATAAACCTTTCCAAATACAATGTACTATAATCTAAAAAATGAAAACAGGAGTATTATGCATAGGGCTGGCATTTTGAACCGAAAAACCGAAAACCGAACCGAAAATAACCGAACCGTTTTAGAAAAAAACCGAACCGGACCGAACCGAACGAAATTGGGACCCAATAATCGGGACCCGAAAAAAAATCGGTTCGGGTTCGGTTTATGTGCACAAAATATCAGTTCGAACCGAACCGAACCGACATTTTTATATTAATAATAATAATTGTTATTTATAATAATAATAATAATTAATGACGAAAAATATAGTAATAATATAAACCCGAGTATGGTTTGAACAAAGATGACGAGTAGCGGAGTTGGTCGTTGTGCTCTTATCCCCAGCAAATGGTCGAGGGATCGATTCCCGTATGCTGTGTAATGTTTTGTATTTTTAGAATTTGGCTTCTTTCTTCTTCTATTCTGTCCCACACCGGAAAATGAGCAGCTTACTACTCCAAAAACTTCAATATAAACCAGGTTCCCTTATTGTAGGCTGCTAAGATACGTTCTAGGCTTCCAATTGGGCTAATGGGGCTCAAATATTGGAAAGTTCCAATGAGCTTTAGTCTACTGAATATTAGTTCAAATTTATTTTTTAAAATTGAGTCGGTTTTTCGGTTCCCGGTAAACCGAACCGAATAATTCGGGCCCCAAAAATCGGTACCCGTTCTTAATACGGTTCGGTTTCGGTTTTTGTAATTTAGTAAACCGAAATATTGGTTCGGTTCGGGTTTATACTAAATCGGTTCGGGTCCCGAACCGAACCCAGCCCTAATTATGCAGTGTATCAATCTAAACAAGTATAACAGTATAACACCGATAAAGCTCTGACAAAACTCACAATATCATATGATCCGATGAAAAGTCAACAAAAAAAGAAAGCAATAGCCAAATAGGGCTGCTGAACAAAATCAATTTCAAAGCTACGTTCTCCAAGTAAACATATTTGAGCTTAGTTAACCAGAAACACAAGTCACTAGTACCTCTTGAACCATCTTGTGCTCCAAACAGATCAAATGGTCTAGAACCCTCTGGATCAGTGCTACTGCAAGTAGTCAGTAATTAACAGAGAACTAAAGGTGTACAATCCAAAAGGAAACGAGTTAAAAGAATCTTGTTCGAGTAGATGTAACACTACCTCAAAGAAATGTTAGAAGACTTTCTGTGAACCTCAGACAGATGCTCACTTTTAACTACAAATACATGGAAAAGATTGAGAAATGGTGTAGCACCCGTGACCCAATACATAACACTGAAAGTAATCAGATTAAGCCATCATACCTGTAAGAATCTGTTGCCGAGAATCAAGTTTCACAGTGACATCAGTTTGGCGTACAGCTAAGACGCGGCAGATGTAACCCTTCAAAGGACCTACTCGTATTCTTACCGATTGGCCAACAGAGAACAGTCCATCTTTATCCTCGCGATGAACTGTACCATTACATCACATATGCATGTCAGTTACTCAATCTAACCAATTAAAATGGATGCAGCATAATCTTTGAAGACATACAATTGCTGTTAACATCCCTCCCCCGGCAAGGTTTCTTAGGAGACAAAGGAGTATTTGGAGATGATGGAGAATCATTAAAAGCAGATGATGGCCCAGCCTCATTTTCCTATGGATTTAGAAATGAGGATGAGTGAAGCTTGTGTCACTTGTAAAAAGGGGTACTATCATTGCATATAAACGACCCTAAGGGGAACAACAAACCTTGCCAGACAATAAAACATCATTGCAGGAAATTTTTTCACACATCTGAGCTTTAACGCAGACATAGCGATTATGTTCCTCGCCCATCTCATCATACAAAAAGATGACTCCTTTATAGATTTGTTTGACAGTTCCTTGTCTATCCTGCAAATTATTGATAGATTCACAAAACCATTAGCTTCATCATGGTAATGCATGCCCAAAGGCAGAAGTGAAACTCCTGGAATTTTTTGAAAAAGAAGTAAACCTTTGATGGACCATCCAAAACCCGTACAACATTATTTATGGAGATTGTATTCTTATTTTGGTCTTTTACAGTAAACAACTTTCTATCGAAGCATGCGGCTCTTAGTTCACGAAGTTGAAGGGTTACAAGTACTGGCCCCTCTGAACCTTCTTTGATGATCTGAGGAAAAGATAAATCTAATGAGAAACCACTGTCTGGGTGAGAGAAAAAGAGAACAGGAAAAGGGGCACAAAGAGTGTAAATACTTTATACACATTCTCCTTCTCAGTGCCAACAATGATGCCAAAATCCTTACGGCTGCAGTAACCAGGGGAAAAGGATAAACATAAGACAAGATATGAATTACGCACATGACAAGATCCCTGGAAAAACCAATTCAAAACCAGCACACCTACCCAAAAAACACTAGATCGTCTACTTCAAAACTGTTTAAGTTGCCAGAGCTCGATGAACCCTCTCCTTTCTCGCCACCTTTCCCAGACCCTTTGTCATTCTTAATTTTCTGCTTTCTCGTGCTCTCGCCATATAGCTGAGAAAGCCACTCGGTGTCAAGTGGCACATTTTTCTTGGGAGGTTCAAACTTCAGGAACTCAGCTTCAGAAGGCATTACACCCCAAAGGCACAAAGAGTCAACAGACATCTTCTTATATAAATAGCCATCTTTAAGCATCTTTCCGTCAAGAACTTCATACATCTCATTTGTATCACGATCCTTACGGTATGTGATGAGAGGGCGGAAATCCCTGCAATTATAATAAGGGAAGAAGCTTCTTATACTGTTGATCCACACGAGTGTAAAGAACAAATATATTATTTAAATGGAAAATATTACTCAAGCTCAGTAGAGCTGATAAATCTTGCTGTTGGAATGGAAGCCTTCTTGGCAGCAACTCCCCCGCCCTGTAAATATTTATTAAAAAAAAATTGTCGTTGATAAGAGCATTTGCAGTTATAGAACACATAATGAATTCACTTGAAGTATTGATTTTATGATTCTATCAGCCACTTAATGTTGCACACTGTGATGTTATTCAAATATTGAATAATCTTAGACCTCCAATAACTGTCTGCTTATTTCAAATACCGATAGCCTTTAAGAATAAACTAAAATTACAAGGCCTTTTAAAATCTATGGCACGCTGCAACTACATAAAAACTGAAAGGAAGCAATTCAGAACTACAGAGGGCATTAATGAGAAAAAAAGTTATTACAAATTTCTCAGCCAGTGCTTGCAAGTCTATTCTTGGAATCAACTTCACAGTGACAGTGACTTTTGCCTGTCCGTCATTCACTGCAACAACCTAAACATTCACAACTGAAACAATTAGCATTTTTGAAATAAAGGTGCATGTCTCTTTGACTACCAAAATTGTAATAAAGGAATGGATACATAAATGCAAAAACGAATATAGAGCACTGACATTGAATTCAACTAACACTCCCGACAAAGAAAAAACTTGAAGTACCTGCGCTAGATCTCCTTTATACCTTCCGCTCTTGACACGAGCCCACATGCCCTTAGAAATTCCATGGCACTTGCTCCGTACACAAAAGAGTTGAGAGATTTCATTCCTTGGAACTTGAGCCATCCGACTGCAATAAATACTAGCAAGCCCTTTACAAGCCTGTACACAAACAATTCCATAAAAAACAAATTCCATATAATACTCGCATGTAACACTTCTTAAACCATATCCCCCCCAATTCACCAATGATCATCAGCCAAAAAAAGCATAGCATAAAAGCATCACAGAGACTAGGAAGTGTGCCTCGATAACATCACGCTGTTTGTCAGCTTCAATATAAACAAAACCCTTCACGTGATCAGGAGCATAAACAGAGATTGTCTGAATTTTTGTTCCCAGAGCATGCAAGTCCACATATTTCTGCATAAGGCAGAAAGCCGAATGCCTTTCACGTCCGACCTACATTTTACAATTAAGTAGCACAAACACCGCACAAGAGAATCAGAAGTGGAAGGGAACATAACTAGCAACGTTGGGTTTTTATTACAAAAGTTTGTTATCAAAAAATGTATACCGTGCATTTGACTTTCCAAATAGTCGGGCCTTTGGAGGAAGGAACAGATAAGTCCTCATCAATAAATCCTTTCCTTTCATAGCCATCTTCTGCATATCTAACAAAACTAGAACTAGGCTTGTAGCGATCTCTCAACATTTTCTCTAGCTCCTCTTCATCCATCTCCTCTTCTTTAGGTACTAGAGGGAAAACAGGGCGCTTAACATGTTCATTCTGGACTCCCTCATCAGCACCTAAATCTTCTTGGATAAAATCTGAAGTGTCAAGAAATGGCAAACTAATATTATTTGAATACATAAATCAATGTATGTGCATGGCCGTGCACGCTCGCTCACACAACCAAGAACTTTCCAAAATAACTTTTTGGCATTTCAGAGGCTCCAGAATAGACACATCCCATAGAATTAAAGAGCTACAGGTATCTGCACGGCTATTAAATTGTAGAGATATAATTAAAACAAAAGTAAAACGTCAACAATATTTTGTTCACTAACCAATGCGTGTATCTTATGTTCCTACAAAGTAGGCATTACTGAAACTTTGTGTATAAGCAGACTACCAGAGTCATGACTAAGGTCTCCTGCTTTAACTAACTAGATCAAAGAGAGGCTCATAATTAAAATACATTATTTTAAGAATAAACTCAGGCAAGTCCCTTGATACCTTATAAAACCACAACAATGTCAGGAATGGACTAAGCAAATGTCTTAAGTTTCAAAAGAACCCAAAGGTCCCAAACCCAAAAACCAAAAAATGGAAAACAAAAACATAACACAAAATGAATCGCCAATTAGAAAGTGGTCACATCCCCAATTTTCATACTCGTATTTCTGATTAAATGCAACGACAATCCCCAGTTCTTCAACATCTCAATGCAGAAAGAATACCAAAAATAGGAAACAGCGACTGGAGCCCTAATTTGAGTAGCCATTGCCAAAAAAGTCAAAAACAAAATGCAGAGGCGGAACAGAAAAAAAGAAGGCAACAAATGTTTGTGATTTATATACCATCGACGTTGAAATCAGAATCGTCACTGAAGTCGTCGTCGTCCTCTCCGACCTCGTGCGCACTGTCCTCGAAGAACTGCAGCACATCGCGCTTATGCCTTTTGCCGGTCTTGTCATCATCTTTTCCCCTGCCGAGATCAGTCTTCCGCTTTCCCGCCGAGCCCTTGTCGCCGGCGGCGACCTTCTCCTTGCCCTTGGCTGAGACCATTTTACGACCACCAACAAAATGACACTATTGCAAAGAGTGAGTGTGGTGGAGTCGTATAGGACTTGGGGAGTTGGGGCGAGGCACCTGGCAGGCTATCACGCTTCGCAACACCTGGATGTTACACAACTGCCCTCGGAATTAAACCAAATAGAAAAAGAACCATTTGTAATTTAGTTTGAGTTTGATAGTATTCCTCCCAACCTGTATTAAACCGAACCAAATCGAATCGAACTCATAAAAACGAATAAAACAGAACTAATCTAAAAATGAAATAATTTCTTTTTTTTAATAACAAATCAAAACCAACTTACACCAAACTAACCCAAACCAAAATATAAGATTTCTCCCATTAATTTGATTCATGTTAATCTTTTTGAAGCTTTAATTCTTTAATTTTAGTGTTCAGGTGGTGTGGAAGAGTTCCCCTATGACGAGTTCTGTGGTGTGGACAAGAAGCAGAGAGAACAGTAGCGAGAGGATGACATCATCGAGTGAAGGGTTGTGTTGTGTTCTGCTTGTCGGAGATTCGAAATATGGAAATATGAATGCTTCATAGATCTTGGTCTATAGATACAGAGGACTACAGCTAGGGATTGTTGACGGAGGAGTGCAAAAGCGCATAGGGATGACTGTGTCAGACCAGAGTTTGACCGGTGATGGAAGATCAATTATAGATTTATAGTGGTAGTGACAGTGGCGGATTCAGGAAAATAAGGTGTTGGGGGTAGATTAATATAGAGTAAATAATAAGAGAGAAAATTTGAACCACGTCACGTTTTTATATTGAACCGCATTTGAACACTAAAATTGGTTGAACGTAGTGAAGTTGATAGAATTTTGATTGGAAGGACCGAAATTCTTTAATCTGATAAATTATGGATGAAAAACTTGCATTTAAAATATATTTTATAAAAAAACAAAGGTAATATTATATGAAAATTGCTAAATAGATCTCTTTAGCAAAAAAGTGATTGATTCATCAAACTCTAACTTTACTTTTTTATTCAATCATTCAAGGCGTGAATTAATTTTATTTTATTTACCGTTTGGAAAACAAATATTTATGTCCAAAGGTATTTGTGTTGAGTATCTAATTAATGGAACTAGTATGTAACACATCCTGGGCTAACTATTTGAATACCAAAAAATTATAATTTTATACTCCCTCCGTCCCTTAAAACTTTACAATCTTTCCTTTTTGGGACGTCCCAAAAAACTTTGCCACTTTGCCTTTAAATCAATTATTTTGTGGTTTCTGTTATTTCTCTCTCCTCTGCACAATTCTCAACCACATAGTTTTTACTCTGTACTTTATTATTCTCTGTGCCGGTCAACTTTGGCAAAGTTTTAAGAGACGGAGGTAGTATTTTTGTACTTATTTATTATAAGAATTTCGATGATATTGAAATGCGCAGAATAAAAATTTAAACTCAAGTGTGCATTAGGTGAAACTGAAATGTATTGAATAAAAGGTACAAAAATAACATCACATTGTGCAATTTATTCTGCACATTTCAGTTTCACCTAGTGCACATTTCAATTTCACATAATGCACAATTCAGCTTCAAATAATGCCACTATATCGTACCCTTTGTGCTGCACATTTCAATTTCATCTAATACACATTTCAATTTCATTTAATGCACATCGAATTTCATTTAAAGCAAATCTAACGGTCCAAACTCATTCTCATTTTTCTCCTAAGATCATGTTCTTATTTGAACCAAAACCTATATATATGATTAAAGATCAAATGAGAACAAGGCTTAACGTGAGAACACCACAATTACCCCAACGTGTTGCACATTGAAGCTTGTATATTGCACTTTTTCGTGTTTTCATAATATTTACAAAAATGCCACCGTGTTTATTTAATGTAGGCTTAATTCGAGCAAATTGAAAATGTGCAACAGAATAGCTCCATTGTGCACCACATTGATTTAATTGTGAGTGTTCTCACGTTAAGCATCATTCTCACTGGAACCGCACCACACACACACACACACACACACACACACACACATATATATATATATATATATATATATATATAGGGTTCGATTCAAGTAAGAACACTGCTTTAGGAGATAAATAAGAACGGTTTGGAACCGTTGATTTGTGAAATCGGAGGGTGAGAATGAGTGCAAAATTAGGGCAGCCGATTTTGTGTAATAAGGAAAGAAATTAAATTCAGTTTGAGGTCAAATTAAAGATAGTCACGTGAGGGGTAATTTTGGACATTTGGACATTTGAAAAAATGCACGCTGTGTGCAGGGAAAGGCGACAGAGGTGGCCGAATCCCAACATTAACGCCATTACCAAAGATAGAAGACTTTAATTTGGTAATTTCCTTCTCAACCGTGCACACTAAAGTAAACCATGGAGAGAAGAGAGACCATGTCGAGTGCAAAACGTGAACAGTCTACGAGGGAGACGATGAACAGCACATCAATGGAAGGTGCAATTTCAAACAAAGGTGCTTCGAAAATAGTCCCCCAAGCGTTCGTGGAGACTGGTAATATCACTGTAGTTGTTAATATTTGAAATTGAAAAAGTTGAATAGCATTTGAAAGGAATCAGTAGTATCATTGTACTGTAAATTTTTGTGGGTTGCAGGAGGAGAAATGTGGGTTTGAGACCATGCAGAAGCGGCCCTAGCCCCAGTGAAGTGCAAAATTTGGTGGTGGACGGCGCTGAAGAAGAAGAAATGGGTGCATCAAAAGAAGAATGTAAGTGTGTATCATAATGTTTTAAGAAGAATTTGGTGTGTCACATTAATGTGATGTTGAATTTGATTTGTGCAACTAGGTAAGTGTATTTGTGATAAATACCTACTGTGATGTTGAATTTGTTTTTTGGGAAATCAAACTAATTTGTGGTAAAGTAATAAAAAATCTGGAAATTCATAGCATACCGTGTGTGTGATTGATACAATTGGAGTGTGCATTTAGATGTAAACGTGTGTGGTAAATTAGATGAATCAATGTGAAATTTCACAGTGTGTAGTGTGAAGGTTTGAGAAGAACATGGGGTCTGTACGAATTGTGTTGTAATTGAGTAGTAGTTGAATTTAGCTAAAAGCATTTGTGCAACAGTCATTGTGTTACTTTAATATAATGGGTGTGGAAAAGGATGAGACTTGGTGTGCATTCTGTATGCATGACTATTTGTGTTAATTATGTTGGATGCGTGTGGGAAAAAATGTTGTGGTGTGCATTGTGTTCGTATGATGGAAAATGGAATGTGCAATCAGGTAACAATTTTTGTTCAAAATTTCATTAATGAATGTGTATCTCCTAAATCAGGTAGCATGCTTTATCTTATGTATGAAGTTTTATAAAATCGCCTGTGGAAAACATCATGACTGAATGTTAAAGTGGTAATTCTTGGAGCGTGGTTTATATAATGCATGTGGGAACAATGACATATGTTATGCATTGCGCTGATTTTTTAAAACATAATCACTACAGTGAAACTACAGATTATCATAGTAAGTGAATTTTTCTTGTTTGTTTTGATAATGCAGTGTTAGTTCAGAAAGATGCAAAGTTGAATAAAAGAAAAAGAATTGGAAAAGAAAAAGAATCTGAAAAGGATATGGATTGTGGCACACACAGTGATGATGATTTTGTATCCACAAAAGATGATAGGAAAGTGCTAAGAAAATGTGATGGTAGTAACATTGATGTGAGCAGAAAAAGAATGATGGAGACAGAGCTGATTGTCCTTCAAACAAGATCTTCTCCACGTCTACTTGTGAGAGCAATAAAAGCAATGAACAATGATCAAAAGAAAGCAGTCCAAGAAATTGGATTTGGTGGCTTGCTCAATCTGGAGATTTCATAGTTGCCCTCCAAAATGGCGTTCTGGGTTGTGGAGAATTTCAACCCAAGAAACTTCACTCTAAGGCTACAAGAGGGACACAACATGCATATTTCAGATGAAGATGTGGCACGTGTATTCGGTTTACCAATGGGAGGAACGCAGATTGTGCCACAAGCAAACCACGAACCATGCAACATTCTGAAGGAGTGGAGGGCAATGTTTAAGAAAGGTGGGAGGAAAATTACACCGGCTGATATATGTGATGCCATGCTCTTGTGTGAGGAAGGTGATGTATGGTTTGTGAGGCATTTTGTGGTGTTAGTTGTGACTGTAATTTTTTACATTGGTGCAAATGGATATGCACACCTATTGATAATGAACAACCTGGAAGATGAGAGCAAGATAAAGGGGTTGAATTGGTGTCGTTACGTAATATCATGCCTGATAGAGAATAAATTGAGTTGGGAGAAGAACAAGAAAACAACATTCAATGGTCCTTTGCTATTTCTAATGGTATTGTTTAATGTATTGAATATATTTAATTCGTTAAACTGTTTTAAAACAACTAACACAAACTTTACCTTACATATAGATGGTGTATGTTGATAGAGTCGTGCTCTATCAAAGAACTATTGAAAGAAAGCTACCTGTCATCATGGGATGGAATGCATCCTTATTGAGAGAAAGAGAAAATGCTGAGATCGAACCCGGTGGTTTTGGGTTAGGGTATGTAGATGATCCATTGTAGCTGCATGGGAGTGATAACGTTGATGCAGATTCAGGGATCGGTGATGATGAACCTAAGGTCAGATTTCCTTGTTGAATGATTTATTTGTATGGGGTGTTTATATCATTGTTATATATGTGTGTAGGTGTATGTGTGGAGGTTTGCAGAAAAATCAAGCTCTATAGCTGAGATTGTGAATGATATAATAACAATTGCCAATGAAGATCCAACTTGCATAATGGAGAAGGAGAGTATGAATAAACTCCAGGAGGTAGGAGAAAGACTGATTGCTTTTGCCAAAAAAATGATACAACACAACAAGAGATGGAGAATGATGCAATCGGGGAAGAGCATGGTGGCAATGGTGTAGAGATTGACGATGATGTGTTCTGGAGTCACCCAACCACTCTTGCCATACTAGACAAGGCTGAGAAAAATGGGGTGAAGGGAGGAATGACAATTAAGAATACATCACCATTGCCATTATTCTCTATTTGACTGACACATCAAGAGAGGGATGCGGATTTGGAAAGACAACGCCCGAAAGAGATGGGAGGACCATTAAATACAAATAAAGAAGAC